AGCTTGGTGTACAGGTGGTCATTACAGACCCTGAAAAACTGGACCAAATTAGACAGAGGTATGTTGAGAAATTATTTTTGGCCTTTTAAGTGTGAGTGTCTTGGAGGACTTTAACATTTTTGGCGAAGTCAAACTGTTTTATGTAAACTTCCAGAAAAATTAGTCTGGTATTTTAAGAGGGACTTGGTGTTATACGGCCTGTACAAAAATCGGCCTTTTTCTGGAATTTTGGTTTTATCAGTCTATTGACATTAAAGATATAAAAGACAAGAATCTAGTTTCCTCAAAGCAGTACAGAACTCAGCAATTTTGCTACTGTTTGCTAGATACTGGAGGTACAAGTGTTATTAGTGGTTGGCATGTTAGAAGAGCTAATGGTGAAGGTAGTGTGACCCCTGCTGTAGATTTGACTGCCTCACCGTCACTTGAAACAATAAATAGTTTAGGCTGGGCATAGTGGCTCATGCCTATAATCACAGCACTTTGAGAGGCTGAGGTGGGAAGAATCTCAAGCCCAGGAAGTCGAGGCTGCAGTGAGCTTTGATTGTACCACTGCACTCCAACCTGGGTGACAGAGTGAGGCCCTGTCTCAAAAACAAAACAATGAATAAACAGTAGTTAACCAAACCTTCAAGAAAGCTTTGCCAAGAGTAAGAAATGTGCTTACTTAGTCTGCACAGGTATTCTTTTTTCCTTCCTTCCTGATAAAACAAAGGGTCTTTTCTCTACAGTAAGTGTTCCAGAGTCTGTTTCCTTCTGCTTTGGAGCCTTGCATTCATTGATTCTTCTTTCACGCCTGCATCTTCCATTAATTCTGCTCTTTCCTGGATTCTTGTGGCTCTTCTGCCTTTCAAGCCTCTTAATACATCTACCTGCTGTAGGTACTCCCTGTCCTACATCTTTATAGCCAGATGTCATGAGTCATTTACTACACAAAACTTTTCTGGTGCTTTTCATCTCTTCCCTTTTCAGCCCTCTTCTCCATTTGCGGGACTGCATGTTAAGGTCTCTAGTGTGAAATTCAGAAAGCATTTTCAGCCTTCTTACGACCTTTAGCAGCCCTTTGACTATGTCCTTCTTGAAATGCTTTCGGGGATGGGAGGCCTTGTGATGCTGCATTGTCTATCCCTTTGCCTGGACCACCATCTTCTAATACTCTCTAAGATAGTCCATTTGTTCCCATGACTTCATGTATTATCTTTCTATTCCAGAGACTCCTTAAGCTGTTTCTCTGAGCTCCGAACACATACATCTATCTAACAGAATGCTTTTTTTTTTTTTTTTTTTTTGAGACGGAGTTTCACTCATGTTACCCAGGCTGGAGTGCAATGGCGCGATCTCGGCTCACCGCAACCTCCGCCTCCTCGGTTCAGGCAATTCTCCTGCCTCAGCCTCCTGAGTAGCTGGGACTACAGGCATGCGCCACCATGCCCAGCTAATGTTTTGTATTTTTAGTAGAGACGGGGTTTCACCATGTTGACCAGGATGGTCTCGATCTCTTGACCTCGTGATCCACCCGCCTCGGCCTCCCAAAGTGCTGGGATTACAGGCTTGAGCCACCGTGCCCGGCCTCAGAATGCTTTTCAAGCATCTCAAAGTTAACATGTCTAAAACTGAACTTGTGATAATACTGCAAATCTGCTCTTGACCATTTTAATGATGAGGACTCCTCCACACAGACAGACTAGGAAATATCCTTAACTTCTTGTTTTGTTTGTACAGCTCATGAATTGTAAGCTCTAATGGTAGAGACAAGAATTATTCCTTTGGCATTGTAGCCCCATCTGTAGTACAGTGTGTAGGACACAGTACTTGTTCAGGAGACAGGCTTCTTTTGAGGTTGATCAGTAATTCATTTTACTTAAAAAATTCTTTGATCTCAGCCGGGCGTGGTGGCTTGCGCCTGTAATCCAAGCACTTTGGAGGCCATCTCTCATAGTTTTTGGTTTCCATGCTGTAAGTGACTACCTCCTGGCAGATTCACCCGCGTAACAACAGACTTCAAACTTAATCTTGTCCCATACTGAACTCTGATTTCCCATCCTGCCCACCAAACTGTTGCTATTTATTTTACTCCAGGAGTCACCCAAGCCATAAAATTTGACTTTTCTCTTTAAGCAGTTTTCTTGCCTCAATCTCCCAAGTACCTGGGATTACAGGTGTCCACCACCATGCCTAATTTTTTGTATTTTTAGTAGAGACAGGTGAAGGAAGTAGAGGAAGGTGAAGAAACTTTTGAAGAAACTTTTCATCATGTTGGCCAGGCTGGTCTCGAACTCCTGACCTCAGATGATCCACCTGCCTCGGTCTCCCAAAGTGCTGGGATTACAGGCGTGAGCCATTGCACCCAGCCTGGACTCCTCTCCTCTCTTCATTGTCCTGTCCTAGGCTAGATTTTATGTCTTTCATGTGCTTGTAATCTCTGCATACCACTTGAGTGACAATTGCCTTGGAGTGTGATTGGTAATCCCTCTCCCCACTAGATCCTTCAAGGCAGGACTCTTGTTTCCTGTGTAACCATAGTTCTTGATTAGTAATTCAAATTCGGGTTGGGAGAGCTAAGTGGTAATTTTTTGAATTCCTTCAAATTTTCCATAAATTGGACTAATTTAAATTCTGGTCAGAGATAAGAAAGATTAATCTATGGTTATCTTGTGATAAATACTTAATGGAAGTCAAAGCTAAATTTTTTAAAAATCACAGAAGGTAACTCTGGGTTATAAAAATACTTTGCAGAGAATCAGATATCACCAAGGAGAGAATTCAGAAGATCCTGGCAACTGGTGCCAACGTTATTCTAACGACTGGTGGAATTGATGATATGTGTCTGAAGTATTTTGTGGAGGCTGGTGCTATGGCAGTTAGAAGAGTTTTAAAAAGGGACCTTAAACGCATTGCTAAAGCTTCTGGAGGTATGTCTTGTGCTGGCTCTCATGTAAAATCCTTTCATTATACCTGACCACATCAGAGGTCTTTTTACATTGGAATATTGACATGAAGCAGCTTCAAAAACATTTATATTCCCCTAATGCTTTGTGCACAGTCAATACATTTATAGAACCATTTTTCATGTAACTGAACAAATTCATTAACTGAGTTTGTTGGAAATTCATAAACTGAATTTGATCACTTCAAAAATGACATAGTTCCATCTTAGGATAAAAGGTGTGTGTTGCCTAACTAAATTCTAAACTTGTATCACTTTTATCACAAATGCTATTGAGTCTAAGGATATTAAAATCATGAAAGAGCAATATTTACAGGTACTTTTTAACTCTCTTAATAGCAACTATTCTGTCAACCCTGGCCAATTTGGAAGGTGAAGAAACTTTTGAAGCTGCAATGTTGGGACAGGCAGAAGAAGTGGTCCAAGAGAGAATTTGTGATGATGAGCTGATCTTAATCAAAAAGTAAGAGCTACTTTCTAAAATTGTAAAGTTACGCAGGTTTTGTTAAGCAAAAGTAGGCTTTCTTCCCATTTATTTGCTGCTTGTAGTCTCACAGTGGTACGAGCAGTTATACGCGTGGGATAAAATAACAATCGGACCAGTGTAAGTTGAGATGAAGTAACCATTTTCATCTCTTCTGCATGGACTAGACATTGTTTTTGTATAGTATATCTAAAAATCCTGTGTAGGCAGAATTTAATCAAGGGCACTTTCACTATATACACTTATTTTATTAAAATACCAGTTTGAGAAATTGATGTTCTTGGCAAAAAAAAAAAAAAAAGCTGTTTTAAGAATCTCACTTTTTGTTTTTAACAGCACTAAGGCTCGTACATCGGCATCGATTATCTTACGTGGGGCAAATGATTTCATGTGTGATGAGATGGAGCGCTCTTTACATGATGCCCTTTGTGTAGTGAAGAGAGTTTTGTAGTCAAAATCTGTGGTTCCAGGTGGGGGTGCTGTAGAAGCAGCCCTGTCCGTATACCTTGAAAACTATGCAGCCAGCATGGGGTCTCGGGAACAGCTTGCTATTGCAGAGTTTGCAAGATCACTTCTTGTTATTCCTAATACACTGGCAGTTAATGCTGCCCAGGACTCCACAGATCTGGTTGCAAAATTAAGAGCTTTTCACAATGAGGCTCAGCTTAACCCAGAACGTAAAAATCTAAAATGGTAAGCATACGGTTTCCCTGTCTTTTTAGCCCTTTTTTGACCTTTGGAAAACGGGGTAGTAGTCAACTGCAGGGTCAGCAAACATAAACACACACTTACCAAATACTACTTAACATAGAAAACTTCACAGCAAGCATTTGTTGTTTGGTCACTATAATTCAAGGGATAAATGACTAATTCTTGGCACTGGGGTGCCCTAGTTAACTGTGACTGCTAATCTCTTCCTGTTGTTTGGGTAGAAAGACTACCTACCTACAAGCTATGGGGCTGGGCCAGGTGTCTGTTGCCTGTAATCCCAGCACATTGGAAGGCCAAGGCAGGCAGAGTAACAAAGTCAGATCCAGACCATGGTGGCCAACATGGCCAAACCCTGTCTCTGCTAAAATACAGAAAATTAGCCAGGTGTGGTGGTAGGTGCCTATACCCAGCTACTCGGGAGGCTGAGGCAGGAGAGTCACTTGAACCCAGGAGGCAAAGGTTACAGTGAGCCAAGATTGCACCATGGCACTCCAGCCTGGCAACAGAGCAAGACATTGTCTCAAAACAACAACAAAAAAGATCTCTAGTCTGACTTAAAAATCAAGTTTAATGCCTGAATGAAATAGCTGGAATTAAGAGGCCACCTAATTAAGTTGTAAGCGGCCGTTTAATAGTTCTTTCTTAATTGCAGGATTGGTCTTGATTTGAGCAATGGTAAACCTCGAGACAACAAACAAGCAGGGGTGTTTGAACCAACCATAGTTAAAGTTAAGAGTTTGAAATTTGCAACAGAAGCTGCAATTACCATTCTTCGAATTGATGATCTTATTAAATTACATCCAGAAAGTAAAGATGATAAACATGGAAGTTATGAAGATGCTGTTCACTCTGGAGCCCTTAATAATTGATCTCCTTGTTTCTTTATTTATAACAATGTTAAATGCAGTCGTCTTGTAGCTTGAGTATCCATTAAAATACACCAAGCTGTAAACTTGGGTTTTTGTGATGTAGGAAATGGTTTCCATCTGTGCTTTGGTCCTCTGATTTCACATATTATAACCCTAGTACTTTATTAGTTTAAAAAGAAATTGAGGTGGTTCAAAGTTCATGCTCTCTGAACACACATTGCTATTCCCATCCCACCGCCAATGCACAGGGCCGCAACACCACGACTTCCGCCCGTTCTCTCCAGTGCGTGTAACAGGGTCACAAGAATTCGACAGCCAGATGCTCCAAGAGGGTGGCCCAAGGCTACAGCCCCTCCTTGAATGTTGACCTAAGTGGGAGAAGAGACTTAGATTGTTTATTCTTCTGTGGACAGTTTAAAACCCTAAACTTGTCCTTTTCCTCTTAATGTTGTATTAGCATGCTACACTTTCAAACTCAGATTTCCATTTTAACTGCTTAGGAATAAATTCACACCCTTGTGAAAATTCATCCCTGACTATCTTACCTCCTTCCTTTTATGCCAAGTAAGCTAACGTGCTTTAAAATAAGTGAACTCCGTCTTAGTAACTGGTATTTACCCACATGGCCAAGGCGTGGAAAAAATTGCATTGTGAAATTCATTGGAGAGCTCTCAGGATTACTTGTGCATCTTTACCTTCTCTGGGTTTAGTCCAAGTTCTTTAACTATTGCAACAGAGAGAGCTGCAAAGGCTTCATTGATTTCAAATATATCAACATCCTCCAGTGACCAACCTGCTTTTGTAACCTAAAGGAAAGATTCACAGAAAAGACGTCTAAACTTGGGTGGAAGGGCTAAAGTTAAACCATTCTTTGCTGACAGAAATGTGAAATATGCTGCATAATACTGAATGGTCTCTTAACTGCTACTTTGGTGTTTTCTTAATTTTTTTTTTTTCTTTTTTAAATACAGTGACATTCTCACACATTTTTGCCTTACTGATATCCATTCCATCCAAAAGGTTAAGGTTGTGATCTAAAAGATTCCTTAGAAATTCTAAATTGTCTTAAATTTTGAACCAGTAGCATCTGTTATGTGTACTGAAGCGTAATGAAACAATCAGTTCCCCTAAAAAGCAGGTGATCTAAATGCTCTCAGTGGCTGGGGGTAGTGGCTCACACCTGTAATCTTAATGCTTTGGGAGCCAAGAGGATCACTTGAGCTCAGGAGTTCAAATCCAGCAACACAGGACCTTGTCTGTACAAAATATTAAGAGGTTAGGCATGGTGGTGCACCTGTAGTTAAGCTAACTCAGGAGGCTGAAGCTGGAGGAATATCTGCGCCCAGGCATTCTGAGGCTGCAGTGAACTATATGATAATGCCACTGCACTCCAGCCTGGACGACAGACCAAGACCTTATCTCAAAAATAGAAATAAATGTTCTTGGTTACTCTTATGGTAGGGAAAGACTAGAGAACAACTAAATGAATAAGCTCATTTAAGGCTAACAGGAAAATTTCATAAAAGGGAATAGAGTTATACTCACAGCTTGTTTTATGGCTGGAACTGGTCCTATTCCCATAATGGAAGGCTCCACACCCACTTGCGACCAGGAAACTATCTGTGCTAAAGGTGTAAGCCCACGTTTATCAGCTTCTGACTTCTTCATAAGAACCACAGCTGCTGCACCATCATTCATTCCTGTAAAATATGAGTGACTTGATTCTACAATGCTTATTCAGTTACATACTGGCTTCTTTACCACCTGAAGACACGAATTAAATGATCTTACATGTTGACTAAGGCATTTACTATAATTCAACAGGCTTTACAGTAATACACATAGAAATTATGTTTGACAATATATTGACCACAAAACTTTCCAACTAGAGAAAGTGGTAGGATAATAGCAGTCAGGGCTGGGTGTGGATTATACGTGTAATCCCTGCACTGTAGGAGGCAGAGGTGGGTGGATTACCTACAGTCAGGAGTTCAAGACCAGCCTGACCAATATGGTGAAACCCCCATCTCTAGTAAAAATAGAAAAATTAGCCAGGTATAGTGGTGTGCACCTGTAGTCCCAGCTACTCGGGAGGCTGAGAGTAGAATTGCTTGAACCCAGGAGGCGGACATTACAGTGAGCTGAGATCGCACCACTGCACTCCAGCCTGGGTGACAGAGTGAGACTCCATCTCAAAAAAAAAAAAAAAAAGATTACAGCAGTCAGGGAGAGGAGATCTCTGAAAGGAAATGGAAGAATAATAAGTCTGGGCCTCACAAGGAGGTATTGGGAGTTTCTAGTACTGGAAAAATACAAATGTAGATAAACTGAAGTTCCCTAATTTACTTTTTTATTTAGATTTCTAGTTGGGATGTCAAGAAACCAAAATAATTCTTTCAGTATAGGTTAAGTCAATGATCAGACAGAAGTGACAACATGTTTCCTTAAACTTTTAAGAATAATTTTGTATATAAATATGAGTTGGGTGTGGTGGCTGATGCCTGTAGTTCCCCAGCTACTTGGGAGGTTAAGGCAGTGGGGCTCACTTGAACCCAGGAGTTTGAGGCTGCAGTGAGCAGTGATCATGCCACTGCACTCCAGCCTGGGTGACAAAGCAAGTCCCTGTCTGAAAAAATAGTACTTTTGTATATAAATAGAAAAATATTCACTTGGTAGACCTTACAGAACATAGTATTCCCCCAGAAGTCCTACAGAAAATCTAACCTGAAGCATTAGCTGGGGTGACTGTTCCTGTCCCATCTGTAAGAAAGTAAGGTTTTAGCTTGGACATGGCCTCCATGTTGCTACCATGGCGAGGAAACTCATCTGTTTTAACTTCAATAAGACCTAAACGAAGGAAAACCAATTAAGATTACTCCAGAGACAGAAGTAAAGGGTGCTGGGAATAGTGGGTTTCTCAGACATGGAACATGAGGATTCATACTCGGCAGAAAGGTTTTAATATGTAACCACCTTGATTACAATAGGAGGAAAGTACACACAAGAATTATTGTACATGAAAACAATTTATCCTTATGAGACACCTGTGTTTTACAGATCCATATCCCTTCCTGAGGGAAATAGTTACCAGGGACCTGTTTGTGTAAAGTTCTGCTATGGTTTGGGTCACAGTACTTGGCTGGATACAAGTGAGGATCAGGGAGTCTCAAAGCCAATCCTGCACTGCTGGCTGGACATAAGAGATGTCAATTATCAAAAAGGGAGCTTGATGGTAGCATTCTGTATTAGAAAATAGCGAGTGGCTGGGCGCGGTGGCTGACTCCTGTAGTCCCAGCACTTTGGGAGGCCGAGATGGGCAGATGACAAAGTCAGGAGTTCAAGACCAGCCTGGCCAGCATGGAGAAACCCCATCTCTGCTAAAAATACAAAAATTAGCTGGGTGTGGTGCAACGCACCTGTAATCCCAGGTACTTGGGAGGCTGAGGCAGGAGAATCACTTGAACCCAGGAGGTGGAGGGTGCCATGAGCCGAGATCACACCTCTGCACTCCAGCCTGGGCAACAAGAGTGAAACTCCATCTCAGAAAAAAAAAAAAAAGAAAATAGTGAATGACCCCAAAAAATCCACCCTTTAGAAATGTGAAGGGGAGGCCGGGCGCGGTGACTCACGCCTGTAATCCCAGCACTTTGGGAGGCCGAGGCGGGTGGATCACGAGGTCAAGAGATCGAGACCATCCTGGTCAACATGGTGAAACCCCGTCTCTACTAAAAAACTACAAAAAATTAGCTGGGCATGGTGGTGCGTGCCTGTAATCCCAGCTACTGAGGAGGTTGAGGCAGGAGAATTGCCTGAACCCAGGAGGCGGAGGTTGCGGTGAGCCGAGATCACGCCACTGCACTCCAGCCTGGGTAACAAGAGCGAAACTCCGTCTCAAAAAAAAAGAAATGTGAATGGGAGACACACACCCAAGCAGCAAGAAGTAATGGGTGTCCACTTCTGAGGAGGTTGAGCCTATACAGGAAACAGGTCAGCTGGTGCCTCCTAACAACCATGAGCCAATGCTCCAGTTTCTCATAAAACCTGCTGTATGTGCATAGCAGTCATGGGCACTCTGGAACCAAGAGTGCCTGAATGCTGACATAGTTCCCATGTTGCCATGTCCTGTAAACCCATCACCCCCTCCCCACATTCATGTATCCAAGACATATCTTTGCAGCCTGAAAAACATCACTAAGATATAATTTCTAAAGATTCATATGTATTACTCTTTTAGATGTTACTCATTCCTATAAATAGGTTGATGTTTAATTAAACCATTATGACATACTCACCTTTTCTAGATGACACAAAAACTGGTACAATCTCTTTGTCAAAATGGCCAGCTTTCTGTGCATTCTCTGTCCTGTTCTGGGACAGAACTGCAACCTTGTCCTGATCTTCTCTACTCACTTGCCACTTTTTAGCTACATTTTCAGCTGGAAAAAGAAGAAAAATAGCAAAACCTAACATTTTCATGAACTGGCATTTGATAGCTCAAGTTGTCCACATTTGACCACGTACTGACCACACATGCTAGCGGGGTCAGGGTGGCCTATGCAGTGCTCTGTGTGGGATGGCCCTGCCTGCCACTGGCAGTGGGTTTGCAAATGTTGCAATAACTCTCCTATCCTTTCTACTTAATTGTAAACTTTCAGAAATTTCCTTCACCCAGAGTCACCATTTATATTTTCCCTCCATTTGCTTTAATGCTTTTATTCTGAACCATTTGAGAGCAAGTTGGAGATACGATGCCTTTTTACCCTTAAATTTTAATTTCAGTGTATACTTCCCCCTAACAAGGTGACTTTCTTACGTAAGCACAGTTATAAAACTCAGGAAATTTGGCCAAGTGTGGCAGCTCACACACCTGTAATCCCAGCACTTTGGGAGGCTGAGGCAGGAGGATCACTTGAGCCGAGGACTTTGAGACCAGCCTGGGCAACAAGGTGAGACCCTGTCTTCACTCAAAATAAATTTAGCCAGGCATGGTGTGTGTGGCACGTAGCTAGTAGTCCCAGCTGCTCGGGAGGCTGAGGCAGGAGGATCACTTGAGCCTGGGAGTTCAAGGCTGCAGTGAGCTGCGATCGTGCCTCTGCACTCCAGCCTGGGTGACCCTGTCTCACAAAACAAAACAAAAATCAGGAAATTTAACATGAATCAAACACTATTATCTAATCCTTGGTCCACATTCAAATTTCATGCCCTTCTAGCTCCTTTATTGTTCAGTCCAGGAGCCAATAAAGAAGCATGCATTGTACAACTATCAATCTCTCTCAGTTGCTTTTATCTGGAACAGTTCTTAAGACTATGTTTCTTAAACTTGGTATTTCTGAAGAACATGGGCCAGTTCTTTTGTTAGGGGTCATCAACTTTGATTGTCTGACCTCAGGATTAGATTAAGATTCTGCCTAAAGGCAGGTGTACCACTGAATGATGGTATGATTTTTCTCAGTGAATCTTATTAAGACACAAATGACAATCAGTTTATCCCAGGCGATGTATCTTTGATAATTTGGTTAAAATGGTTTGGTATTCACCAGGTTTCTAGCTTTTAAAGGCACCATTTTTTCATTTATAAGTAATCAATAATGTATGGGAGGTTATTTTGAGATTGTCAGAGTATCTTCTTCCCCATCATATTTCACCCACTAGTTTTAGCATTCATTCATTCACGGCTTTCTAACTCCAACATTCCCTCTACTGGTATTAATCGGCAATTTACTGTAAAGAAAAGCTTTTCTTTTTCTCTCCATTTATTCAGTTATTTCTATCAGGCTGGACTCATATCTTTTCATTTTATTGAATAAGTTATAACCCATTACTATCATTACTTACTTTGATGCTGAAATTGTTCAAAATGTGGGCAGTTATAACCCATTACTATCATTACTGACCTTGTTGCTCAAATTGTTCAAAATTCCACTACAGGAAAGTAGAACCCTGTAGGCTGCCTCCTGTGTACTTGTGACATGTCCTTATTTTTTTAGCACTTTTTTTCCCAGCCTTGGAAAGTGCCATTTCTCTAAAGAACATTAGTTCCTTTTAGTGGAGAAATGTATTTGGAAACAAAGATCTGGGTGTCAGGACTGCTTGTTGTTACTGGTTTGTCATTGTTTCTAGGTCTGTTCAGTAGAAACTTCCACATATATATATAATTTATAATTTTATGAATACACACACTCATGGTAACACTTGAGTTCATACTGCTATCTCCAAAATGCAACCTAGCACAACAAGCTTCATTCTTCTTGCTTTCCATATTTGTAATTTTCTTCTACAAATGTGAGAATTGGCCAGGCATGGTGGGTCACGCCTGCAATCTCAGCATGTTAGAAGGCCTAGGCGGGAGGATCCCTTCAGCTCAGGAGTTTGAGGCCAGCCTGGGCAATATGGTGAAACCCCATTTCTACCAAAAATATAAAAAATTAGCCAGGCATGGTGGTGCACACCTGTGGTCCCAGCTACTCAGGAGGCTGAGGTAGGGGCTGCAGTGAGCCAAGATTGAGCCACTGCACTCCAATCTGAGTGACAGAAACCCCTGTCTCCAAAAA